ACCTAAATATGGAAATATGTAAATCATTGGGATTGATTTACTTAAAGTATAAGGAAAAACTTTGTTTTAATTTTGGATAGAGTGGAGGTGGATTAGAACACCTGTCAGTTTTTCATTAATGTCTAGGGAGATTTACCCTTTCTATTTGTCCTGTTTACCATTATCATTGCAAGTGAAAGTAAAAGATGATCCAAAATTTTGGGCTGTCCACAGAACAGTAATAGAGGGAACATTTTCCAATGGTAACACTGATTCTGGTAACCTGGGGGCCCCAAGGGATTCCATTAATTTGTAGGGATTTCCTATCTCTTCGTGTTTTGGCTATGGGGCAGGAAGCAAAGGTAAATCTCCTCAAGATGGTGAAATATAAAAAAAAACCTTACAGGGGTTATAACCCTCCCTTACTATATCCAAAATTTTAAAAAAAAGTTTTTACAATGTAAATGCATATCACAATGGTCAAATACCTTGTTAGAACATTCAGTATGTCATATGTAGTGGGGATACTTTACTTTTCACAATTATTTCTAGAGATATCTTCCCACTGACAAGTTCCCACTGACATCATTGATCTTTATAGCTATCTATAAGGGGGTACTTCTTCCCACTGACCACAAATGTAGGGAGTATTCTTTCCACTGACCATCACACTAATGTATCATGAATTGTAGCTATAGTAATTTTTAGCAGGGCTTTCCTGAGACTGTAAAGTTATTTCAAGGGTTCCTCTGTGTTGAAAAAGGCTAGAAAGACTGCTTGAAAGTGTAACTAAAAGGCAAAACGTTCTTTTTCATTTTGGATAAAGTAAGGTAGGGTTAGAACCCATGTCAGGTTTTTGCCATTTGTGTCCCATTGGTGAGATTTACCTTCACTTCCTGTCCTATAGCCAAACAGGAAGTCTCCCAGGTCACCAGAACTAGTGTCCCCACTAGAAAATTTCCCCTCTATTACTTTTCTGGGGACAACACAAAAGTTTGGATTTTCTTTTACTTTCACTTTCAATGACAAACTACAAATAGAGAGGGTGAATCTCTGTAATGAGGGCACAGACAGATGTAAAAACCTAATAAGTGTTCTAAGACCTCTACACCCTTTTCCAAAACTAGAAAAGGTTATTATCAAATATTGAATGAAAGCAGTTAAAAAAAATCACACACATATAAATACCTTTCTTCTACAATGTTGTCTTTTTGTGTGTAATTTTTTTATACTATTTTCATTCAAATTTGACATTTATAAAGATATTTTGTATTTACTTAATTTAACTTAGTTGTTTTTGATATGTCACATGTGTCCTGTGAAATCAGCTTCTTTTTGACAGGTATTCTGGTTACCTTTCTCTTTTGTATTAATACCTATGCTGCAGAGACCATACTGATTTAGTAAGTTGGCATATTTCTACGGTTTAAACTATTTTATCTTTTTATTATCAATAAAAAATGACTGGGGTTCTAATCCGCCTCCACTGTATCCATCCCACCAGATATTGCATGAAATAAATTACCACCTGATTTCATGAGATAAATACGGCATATTTTGGAAAAATTCCTCATGTGGTATTTTAGAAATATTTTTTGTGACTGCCAAAAAACTTTTTGAAAAACCCTAGTGGTATTTTACTGCATTCCTTAAAGCCGTAGGTACTGCTTCATGAATGGAGCTTAGTATTTCTATCACCTCCCATGCAGTTATGTTATTTACAGTCACAGTAAAGGGTGAACAGCTGCGATAGCACAACCATATATTAGGGATGCGGGCTATCTGTTAGAAGGCAAGTTAGGGTTCTCAGACCCAGCTGAGATAAGTGGGTAAAGAGATATACTTGCTACTTGCAGGTCATGGAAAGATACCCTAGGTCAATCTGGAAAAGTAGGGAGAAAAAACCCTGTTGTGCTTGGTTTCATACAAAAATCAAGGAACACATCAGCTACTCAGGGCAGGAAAAGGTGTTTTCCCCAGGATTGGGTCTCAAGATGTGGAGTTTCAGGGTATGCCAGTAAAAACAAAGTTTCTTATGAAAGAGAGCTATGCACTCCTTTGCGACTCACCTCTGCTGAGTAGTCTTCAAATATTTTAAGCTTCTGGTTACAGAGGTGAAGACATTTTACATTTCTGAAGGCTCTTAAGATGGCTGTCTTGTCATTGTAGTCAAGGTATCTTACAAATTTACCAGGTGTGGAGAAGTAGAATCGGGTTTGAGGAGTCCAACTTGGTGTGTCATCTCTACTTTGCAGCATTATTCTAGGTCCAACGCAGATGGTATGTTTTGGAAGCACTTGGATTGCAGTATAATTAGTTTGTGATGAGAAGATTGTTCCCCCTCTATCAATTTTCCAATTTTTGTACACTTTCTCTAGGAGGTTGGCCTCAGTCATATGCTGGATGTGTGCCAGTATGTCATGGCACAAAGGATTGGATACAATTGAAAACTGCCTCATGTATCGCCTTCAGAATGATAATATTTTTCTGTCTTGATCACTCTAGTTGCTCACTTGTTTGGGTTGCAGGTATTTTCCCTGTATGAGGACGAGTCCACTGGAATGGCAGGTCATGAGGTAAGCTGTGTAACAGTCTTGAGATTCTTACCTTGGTTCACAACTTTTTTGAGTCGCAGAGTTAGTCGCAGAGTGAGAGGGAATTTTAAACAGGCCAGAAATATTCATTCCTGCTTGCTCCATGGTGGGTAAGGTCTGAGTATGTTTCTTGCCTTAGTTGAAGGCTTCAGTGCAGTATGTTCTAAAGGCAGGTTTATAGTCATATGGAACCTGAGTTCACATGAGCTGCAACTGCTGTGTCAGGCGCCAGAACCTGAAATGTTTACTGCATGTATAATGGATCAACTTCCATACAACAGTCTTGCATAAATAGAATGCCAGTGTTGTTTGAAAGCCATATGATTTCCAAATTATCTCTGCTGATAACAAACAGATACACAGAGATAGTCTTGAATTGTGCAGCTTTGCCACATTAGCAGTAATGGAAGCTCATTCAATCTGCATTGAGTAGTACATATCAAGTGAAGAGGAATTATCTGGGACAATGGGCACAATTCACTAAAGGTTATTGCATGCGTTATGTCAGTCACATGACCATATATCGCATCCAATACTGAAAATGTCAATTCACTATTGCAGTGTGCGGTATTTACCAAAAAATAGCAACAATGCTAGGTAAAAATCACATGAAAAGACCTTAAAGACAATTAACAAAAGGTAATAAATAATTAAATGCATGTGATAATTAAGTAGTGGTTCAGGCATGCGGTATGTACTAGTATATGTCAGTATCTGTCATGGGTTGTTAAGGAGTGGGTGGCTGCAACGTTCAACAACCTATGAGTCTTCAGCTGTTAGCGGGGTTCCCTGCTGACAGCTGAATTTAAAAAAAAGAATTGCCAGAAATGAAAAATGTTGCAAAAAAATGGCTTGGGGTCCCCTCATTCATACCAAACCCTTCGAGTCCCCTCCCCAAAGCACCTTGTCCTCATGTTAATGGGGACAAGGACCTCTTCCCCACAACCCTGGCCGGTGGTTGTAAGGGTCTTTGGGCGGGGGGCTTACCGGAATCTGGAAGCCCCCTTTAACAAGGGGGCCCCCAGATTCCAGCCGTACCCTATGTGAATGAGTATGGGGTACATGGTCCTGCTACTCATTCACAAAAAAAAAGTGTAGTAAAAAATGACAGTAGACAGTGTTTGACAAGTCCTTTATTAAAACCACAAAAATAAAAAAATGTCCCCTGAAGTAGATCCAACGTCAATCACGATGCCTGCCGCCACCGCAGACCCCATGTTGAGGGCATGTGGCCTGGTACGGTTCGGGGGGGGTGCTTGTTAACCCCCTCCTCTTTTCTGACCTGCCGGGCTGCGTGCTCGGATAGGGTCTGGTATGGGTTTTAGGGGGGGACAGGGACACAATTTTCTAAAAAAAATTGACGTGGGGGTTTCCCTCAAAATCCATACCAGTCCATACCAATCCATACTAAAATACAGCATAACATAATAAAATAACTCATGCGGTATTTTAGTAGCGTTTTTTAGTGAATTACATTTTTTTTTTTTTTAAATGTGTGGTGTCTTACCACATACCACTTAGTGGATTGTCCCCTCTGAGCATTTCCTATACTTTCCCTATGTCTTACAAGGATGATACAAAAATATGTGTATCTCATTTCCACATTTGCTACAAGAAATTTAATTTCTGTTTTGTCTCCCACCAGATGGAATGTTCTTTGGAATTGTTATATTTCTCGGTAGTTAAGGGCTACCGTAACATGCTAACAAATCGTTTATCACATTTTTATAATGGAAGCGTTTTAAATGATATAACAGCAGACATTCTTCTTTGTTTGTCAGAACTATAATATAGTATTTGCCCTGCAGGTTTGGAATCAAGTTTACAACTGTCAGTTGTGCCTTCATTACTTTTAAAATAAACATTACTTACTTTGCTACATTCCCAACAATTTGCCAAGCAAAATAAAAATGATATTTTAGTGATCATGATGATTATTGATATTATTCAGTATTTTGCTCCAGCAGTTTGTACAAAAATGGAGGAAGATAGTGCAGTTACAATACAATTCACTACAAGATGGATTAGGGGCTCTTGCTTGTGAGAGTTTACAGTCTAAAACAGAATATCAACTGATACAAAACATAATAAAGGTTAAGCATGAGCTGATGAAGATAATGAAAGTACAGTTTATTAGTTAGTGGCAGTGTAGGCCCCCCTGAAAGAGATGTATTTTCAGGGAAACAGGGTAGGAGATGGTCAGACAAATTTTGACTAAGAGCTCCAGAGGAAGGGAGATAAGTGATAGTTATGGATACTTATTAGAGATAAATATTCTGGATTAGGTGGACATAGATCTGACCCAGATTAGACTAGCTGATTAACATTTGCAGTTTGATAAAATGGCAACAGTCTACCATTTTTTTTATTAAGATCTACTTACACTTGTTAGTTTTCTTGCAGCACAACATATGCATTTTGATGCATGAAGATGTACTATATTTTTCGCTCCGTAAGAAGCGCCTGACCATAAGAGACACCTAGGGTTTAGAGGAGGAAAACAAGAAACAAAATATTCTGAACCAATGGACTGCAGACATAGGAAATGACCAGAGACTGCAGACATAGTACAGGAGATGACCAGAGACTGCGGACATACTACAGGAGATGACCAGAGACTGCGGACATACTACAGAAGATGACCAGAGACTGCGGACATAGTACAGGAGATGACCAGAGACTGCGGACATAGTACAGGAGATGACCAGAGACTGCGGACATACTACAGGAGATGACCAGAGACTGCGGACATACTACAGAAGATGACAGAGACTGCTGACATAGTACAGGAGATGACCAGAGACTGCGGACATACTACAGGACTGATGACCCAGAGACTGCGGACATACTACAGGAGATGACCAGAGACTGCAGACATACTACAGGAGATGACCAGAGACTGCGGACATACTACAGGAGATGACCAGAGACTGCGGACATAGTACAGGAGATGACCAGAGACTGCGGACATACTACAGGAGATGACCAGAGACTGCGGACATACTACAGAGATGACCAGAGACTGCGGACATAGCACAGGAGATGACCAGAGACTGCGGACATAGTACAGGAGATGACCAGAGACTGCGGACATAGTACAGGAGATGATCAGAGACTGCGGACATACTACAGGAGATGACCAGAGACTGTGGACATAGCACAGGAGATGACCAGACACTGCAGACCTTTGGGGAGTGGAAGGGGGGAGAGCAGGTACCCAAATTTGACAGGTACCCACTCCCACTTCCGTGGAGTTGTCCTCCTCCCTCCCCATCTTCTGAAGCTGCAAGCTGCCACAGCTGGGTGCCCACACTAAAAATGCCAGCGCCAGGTAGAGAAGACGGTGAGGACAACGCTGGACCGAGGAACAGGTAGGACCGAGGAGCAGGTTCTGCTGCACAGAAGAGCCAAGTGGCTGGCCTGATGTTCTAACACAGTGGCGGAGGGAATACCGGGCCTGCCACTCCATATTCGCGCCATAAGACGCACAGACATTTTCCCCCATTCTTTTGGGGGAAAAAGTGCTTCTTAAGGAGCAAAAAATACGATATTTTAAGTGCAAATCCCATTCTTTCTTTATCTTTTTCCATATTATTCTTTACCTTTTCTATGCTTTGTGAATGGGAATACCTAGGCCTCAGAGGTCAGATTGCAGCTGAGTTTTCAATCACTATTATTGTTTATAAGCTATGCTTTTGTATAGACATTGAATAAGGAAAGTGCCACCTTAAGAAGAGGTCTAACTAGGCCATCATTACAAATAGCAAAATGAAATACTAAATGAGATAGAAATGAGTACCATACTTCAACAAAATCCATCCTATGCCAGACCCACATCTATGGATCTTAGTGACTATGTAGTTTCATGCACCAAGCAGGAATGCACTAAGTTTTTTTTTTGGAGCAATTATTATGAATGACCTATTCCCTTATACTAATATCCCTTCATGAAAAACACATAAGATATAAACAAATATTTTGTCTTCTGAGTTTTTTATCCCCTTGGGTCTGGGGTTATCTAAAGTTAGCATGACTACCTATAATTGGACTTCCCACTTTCTTCTCAGACTATACTGCAGATGAGAAACATAGTATTTCTTTTTAGACCTAAATTTTGACCAATTAAATAACCAAAAATATTAAAATAATTAAGAAAAGCAATATTTAGAATAATGCTTTTTTAGATATGAAACAAAGGTATTTTGTTGAACTTGTAGGGATCTGCTACCCTCTACTGATAGCTGCTAATATGACAGTGTTATGTGTATACTTATGTATTATCCTTTCCTGTCTTTGGGAAGCTGTTTTTCAAACCCCAGAGGGAGGAAGTGGTGAGAAAGTCTGAGACACATCCTCTGTCCATGGGAGAGTTTTTGCTAAATCCAGGCTAGAATACAAGGATTACTAGGCAAGTGCTCTTATATTTAATAATTTACTATTGTTGCTTATAGCTTCTACCTAGATAGCTAAGTCTGTGCTACTGTATGTATGTAAAGGTCATCTTCCAGTATATTAGTAGGTGAAACTGTTTTTTGCAATAACGTTTGTCCCTTCTGGTCTGGGATTCTACAGCTAGTTTTAGCTCAGGGCTTGATAACCAGCATAGGCTAGAGCACAGTTTGAGGATCTCCCCATCACCTTTAATTTTGCCTTAAGGTCTCCATCCAACACAAAGATGGATGCTGCATTACGAGCATCCTCAGGGGCCCCTGGAAATGAACCTTGCTGCAACATTCTTCTGGAGGCATCTTTATTAATAACTATATATATATACCCAGGTATACAGTATGTGTACAATTCCACCAGGACTCTTATTGGGCACATTGCTGGTAATACCTGTTTGTACAATGGATAAATAAATACACTGCTCAACAAAATTAAAGAAACACTTTGAAAACACATCAGCTCTCAAAAGGGAAAAATGTAATGCTTGACCTCTATACTGATATGCACTGGGTAGTGTGTTAGGAACATAAGGATGCCCCATTGTTTGATGGAAATGAAAATTATCAACCTACAGAGGACTGAATTCAAAGACACCGTAATAATCAAAGTGAAAAAATGATGCAGCAGGCTAGTCCATTTTGCTGAAATTTCATTGCAGCAACTCAAAATCGTACTCAGTAGTTTATATGGCCCCTACACGCTTGTATGCATGCCTGACATTGTCGAGGCATAATCCTGATGAGACGATGGATGGTGTCCTGGGGTATTTCCTCCTAGATCTGGACCAGGGCATCACTGAGCTCCTGGACAGTCTGAGGTGCAACCTGGTGGTGTCAGATGGACTGAAACATGATATCCCAGAGGTGTTCTATTGGATTTAGGTCAGGTGAACGTGGGGGCCATTCCTGGTATCAATTCATTCATCCTCCAGGAACTTCCTGCATACTCTCGCCACATGAGGCGAGAGTATGCAGGAAGTTGTTGTAGGAAGTATGCACCAGGAAGGACCCAGGACCCACTCCACCAGCGTAGGATCTGACAATGGGTCCAAGGATTTCATCCCGATACCTAATGGCAGTCAGGGTGCTATTGTCTAGCCTGTAGAGGTCTTTGCATCCCTCCATGGATATGCCGCCTCAGACCATCACTGATCCACCACCAAAATGGTCATGCTGAATGATGTTTACAGGCAGCTAAATGTTCTCCATAGCTTCTCCAGACCATTTCACGTCTGTCACATGTGCTCAGGGTGAACGTGCTCTCATCTGTGAAAAGCACAGTTTATAGTTACCTGCTCTGTTCAATGGAATTGCACAAAGTCACCCTGAACCTCCTCTTTTTTGTTCCCCGCCAGCATTTTTTGGTCCTCCCCTCTGGCAAGTGCCCCATAGAAATCCGCTTCCTAAAGGAGCACTCCTATGGGCTCGCTCCTGAGTCTCGCTATTTGCTTTTATAGACACAGAAATCGGGACTCAGCCCCACCCCCATCTCCGGCTTTGATTGACAGCAGCAGGAGCCACTGGCTCCTTCTGCCTCAGCAAAGCCAGTGAGATCAGGAAGTGAGGGGAGGGAAGAGCTGTAGATGGGCATAGTGCTGGATAGAATGAGGGCTCAGGTAAATAAAGTGGGGTGAGGGATATACTGTTGCCTAAATATTTTTTTTTACCTTTATGCAAAAAATGCATTAAGATAAAAAAAAAATGTTTAGGCTGTATAACTACTTTAACCACTTGCCATTCACAGGCTGTATATAAATGGCCTGAACTTAAAATGGTAAATTAAGCTCACAGCTACGGCCATGAGCTTGGTATTAATTTTTACAGCTAGTGTCTGGGTTTTCAGTAAAAGTGATCCAGATGGCTGTAGAGCTGATCAGTCACTTGTACTCTATTGTAAAGGTGGTTCTCCCCCTCCTCCACCCTCTGCTGTGGTTTCTGCCCTCTCCCAGTCCTCCAAGGAGCCAGGGCCTTGGAAAATACTTTTAGGATGCAGAGAGGGGACATTTGTCCATTCCCATATCTTCTCTGTATAGAAAGATCCTGGAAACAACAAATTTAATTTTGTCACTTCTGTCATCAGAGCTGTCATTCCCTAACTGCTATGGTCACTGCCAATTTGTGTTTGATTGCAGTGGAAACATGAGGGATCTAATAGACCCCTGATGTCTCTATAAAGATAACCTGTCACCTCTCCATGCAATCATGTGAGAGCAATAAAGTTACAAAATTTCATTTCTCAGGCACACATAATTTTAATGCTTGACATGTTTATCTTCATTTAATATAGTTTAAAAATTTAACATAAAAAAACAGTTTTTGTGTACAGACACTCCTCGCTTAACGACCTACCTGTTTAGCGACCGCTCGCACTTACGACCATCTCTTCACCGTTACGACTGTACTTTGCTAACTTTATGTTCTGTAATACAACATTCCAGTACTGTGTGTAAATTACACAACCTATGCAAATTAAGACAAGTGGAAGTTTTCAGTTTGATCTTTCTTGTTATTTTACTTATTCAGAATACTGTATTGTCAAATACTATGCATATATTGTACTACTGTATACAGTACATGCAGTTCCTCACTTAACGAACAATTCGCTTAACGACCAAGTCGCTGAAACGGAACTCGGTCGTTAAGCGAGGAGTACCTGTATTTTCCTTGAAAATAATATTATTATTTTTATTATACAAAATTTATATAGTGACAATAGTTTGAGCAGTGCTTTACAATCTAAAGAGAGACAGTACAGTTACAATGCAGTTCAATACAGAAGGGATAGGAGGGCCCTGCTCAAAGAGTTTACACTCTAAAAGGGGGGAGGTGGTTCAAAGAGGTAATAGCTGTAGGGGATATGCTGGTGGAGGTGGAAAATATAGATTTGATAAACAATTTGTGCAGTTATCATACAGCATAAAAAGATAACTACCACAATTTTATTTTACAGGGCCTTTGATTTCAGAAAATATGCACTATATTATTTAGGGGTTTTAGGTAAGAAAAAAAGCAGATGCATGTGAAATATCTTAAAATTGTGTTGTAATAACATGAATAGATATCCCATACAGACTGACAAACTGTAAGTGCCAGTCATATACTAAATAGAATCAGGTTTTCTAAGTGCCACGTCCCCGCTCATAATACTAAATGACAGGTGCCGGACGAATAATCACTGCCGCTGCTCAAGCCGGTGAGAAACAAAAAAATCGGGGGCGCGCGGCCACCCCCATAGGAAAGGCCAATTGCAGATCTTTAGAGCGGATCGTCACATCAGCGGCGAACAAAGTGTTACTCGCTATTCTTATAATTGGGGGGGGGGGCGGTTAAAATCCACTTTATTTTATAGGCAATCCTGTAAACGTGGCATTACACACCTTTCCTCTGAGAAAAAAAGCCCTGAATAGAATTACAACACCAATTGCAGACTTTAGAGGCACCGCTATTTTTAAAATCACTTTATTATAGGAAAACCATTACACAAAATTACATACTCTCCGCTAAAATACAAGGGGGGGTAGTGTTTTATGCTGGTTACAAAAC